GGTTTAGGGTTTAGGGCTCTGAGCCCAAACGGCGGACTTGTCTTGCGAGCCATGGCCCCGACACAAATATGACTCAACATGTAGGTATCATCCCTATGCAAAATCAAATCCAACACCCTGAACGCCCTGACCCATGGAAAATAGCATGAGTTCGTGGTCTCTATTTATACTTATATTCTATATTCAGTCCGAGCTTGCGAGGTCTAGGAGACAATGGCGTCAGCATCTATCTTTCAATCTACCGACATATATACAAATATATGTATGTAAAGAGAGAGAGAGAGAGAGCTGTGGCGCGGTGTAGAGGGTCAAGCACCTGCACCATAGCCTCGGCGGAAGAAGGAGCTGCGGGGCTTTGGATGTTAAGTGCTTCATTGTCGGATCGTGCGATTGTCTGCCTGTGTCGTTGGCTTTCAATTGTTGTGTCAGCTCAACAGTCCATAGACTCTTATCATATCGGCTCTGACCAAAGCAGCTGCTCCAATAACTGGTCAGGAATGTAGTGTTATGCTACAACCCTTTATCCAGTACTTGGAGGTTCATGGGTAGTTATAAGTAGGGTTATAAGTAGGGTAACTATAATTATAACCCACATTAGGGGACTTATAACCCCACTTATAACTACCCATGAACCTCCAAGTACCTCGCCCGTGGTTGACACCCTCGACTTGCTTGCGGCAGATTGTTGAGGGCCCTTCTGACGGCATCTCTGTTTCCTGAATGCCGTCGCTCGCCCTACCATACTTGCCCTTGTGAGAAGTAGTGCTGCGATTTATGGGTTTGATTACCATTGCTTTCTTGACTCATTAACTCCATTGTTGCGGGAACTAGTCTTGCCAATCCTACTTTCGTTTCGCCTTATACACTGCGCGATGTTTGTACTATGGAATATGAAGTGCTATCAAAATCATCCTTCACTTCTACCATAAACGCCTCTGCCCGCATTAAGGGTACCATGAGGATAGTTACTACTACTGCTAGTGCTACTCTACTGTTATCCAACACCAAGGAACAGCAGCTTCGTCCCCCGCGCCAAACTTTGCGGCTACAGCACTCCGATCCCGGTCCCCCGGTGCATGGTTGTTCCTACTGGGTCAGGTCGCGGTCTTTGATCTTAGACTTGAAGCCTGTCATTGCATGTGGAAAGGATGGTGCAGGAGATAGACGTAGTTGGGGCAGAGGGTTTGGTGGTTTTTGGTTCCCGAAGCCCCTAATGCCCTACGCCCCTGAACCCTAACCCTTATCCCGTTGTCGCTGGCATTTCAACGTCGACGGACCGTTTCCCGGGTGCCCCCATCCCAGGAAGTGCAATCGGGCTGCTACCAGCACCTCGGCTCTCATCTCAACAAGGAAAGGGTTTAGGGGTGTAGGGTTTAGAGTTTAGCGGGTGTGGGGTTTAGGCTTTATACTCGTAGGGTTTAGGGAGACTTTGTAACATTTCGGGTTTTGGAATTTAGGGTTCAGGGAGCAGGTCGAGACTATGGGAGCTCGATGAGTTGCCAAATTGTGCCTCCAGAGCCCAGCATGATCAGAGTCAGGGATCTTTCCCTGTTTGTTATAGTGAGCAGGTGCGTGCGAGGTTTCGTGGAGCTTCACAACACAGCCCATGTATTTAGGGCCGTTGAGGGCGTTAGGGCCTTACACCGGGCTCGCTTGAGAGAGTGACTTTCGGTAAGCAGAGCAACAAGGAATCATGAACAATTCGGTTTATGTTGCAGGCAGGGTGCCCGAAGTGCATCCAGACTATACGATGAAGTCTGTATGTTGCCACCATCTCCTTGCGGTCCTCAAGGGCTTCTTTGATTGATGTTCCTTAGCTCTAAACACACGAAGATGTGGGCTGGCCTTCTTCCTCTCACCCATCCTCCAACCTCAATATGGAACGCGTTATCCATGGCCTCAATGCAGAATGCACAAGAACAGGTAGACAGGTACCTGGCACCATGGCTGTCCCCTTCGGCAGCATAACGGTTCACTTTGCCGAAAGTCCAATTCGTAGGCGTATCGGCACATGTCATGCTGGCAGGCATACCTGCATGTACACAATGAGTTAAGATATACTTATGCGATTCTGCACCGTGCCCGTGCACACATAAACCTATACACAAAAACAGCTTCCGTATTCTCGGTTCAGATAGTCAGACTGTTGCCTGGGCTTCAACTGGCAGCACCCTAAACCCTAAACCCTAAACCCTAAACCCCTATAAACCCTAAAGAAGTCAGTCCAACGGGGCCCGAAGCCGACGACCCAACGCCCGAGGCCCTGAATTCCTCATGGATCCCAACTCCGACGTGGCCACCAACCATGAACGCATCCATGATGTTTGAAGCAGCAAGGGATGAATCGTAAGTTCCGAGCATGAAAATGTCGAGACCTTCTAGGCATCTGAAGCACTTCAGAACATCCGAAAGCCTCCACGAACATGGGTAGTTTTCTAAACTAGGGTCCCTTTTAGGGTCCTCTTTTTAAGAGTGCCGTACTGTATTGGGGACCCAAAAAGGGGCCCTAATTTAGAGAACTACCCATATAGAACCCCTATAGGGAACCCTTATAGATCCCTTTAAGGAACGCTAAAGAGGGACCCCCAAAAAGGGACCCTAATTTAGAGAACTACCCACATGGGGCTGCGTACTGCAGGTGCACAGGCGGCATCAGCCTGGACGTTCGGGGCGCCTGGGGGGCTCAAGCGTTCGGGGCTCTGCATGCTATTCTTGTAATTACATACCATATATAGAGACCGTGAATAAATGAACATAAAATATTCATAAACATACTTATGCATTTGGTTCGTGGAGCCCTTTGCACATATACATCATCCCATTATCCGTGTGTCGGTGTTTGTGCGTGCGCGCGTTGAAGTTTAATGCCGGACACCTAACTGACCCTAACCCTCCAAGTACCTACTATATAGGCCCCTAGGGGCTCTAGTACCCTATATGGTAGGTACCTATAGGGGGTTAGGGTGAGCTTTGGAACTCCAGTTCAGCACAGGTGCCCCCGTGCGGATCGACTCGATTTCCCTGCAACCAGGCTCCTGGGGGCGCTTCCGAGGGCTGCCGCTGGGCCTGAATGAAGGGTGCTTACTTGGGAGGCTCATGGGTAGCTATAAGTAGGGTTATAAGCAGGGTAACTATAATTATGACCCATATCAGGTGACCTATAACCCGACTTATAGCTACCCATGAACCTCCAAGTAGTGGCTTGACAAACCCCAAAAGGGCTTTGTAGGGGTGCTTAAGGTCTTACACGAGCGCTTCATTCTAAAGTGTTGTGGAGTTTTTCATAAAGGTTAGCATGCTTTGTAAGGAAGGCACTCTCGCTCCATATTCCCCACCACTCTTGTACACTTTTCGACTTCTTGATATTTTCCAATGAAGCCCATTGAACTATTGATGTTTCGGCCTTGAAAGAATCTGAGGCTTTGGGCCTGGTGTCCATTCGGGAGTGTTAGACCTTGTTCTTGGTTTCTTGTGCTCGATAGCGAGGCTAGAACCTTGTCGAAAACTGAGTTGCTATGGTTTCTCGACAAAGCAGACTTGGGATCGGTACTTTCCTTGGCAGCCAACAGCTTGTCTCGCAAGCTGCAAAGGCATAGTTTGTTGATGGTTTCTGCGCGGTGGGGATCGGCATGAGATGGCGGCTTCGACATGAGGATATCTGGTTTCGGCGGAGTGTGGTCGTCTCGAGTATACCTATGACGCATGACCTCGTACATACATCTACAACGAATTGTGCACGTGCACGTGCAGACGAGCACGAAATCCGGCAAGGCCAGGCCACCCAAATCCCCAGAAGCCAGTACACGAGGTCAAGACTTCTGCCAGTAGCCAAAACCTCAATCGAGACATCCGCCATGCTACTTCTAGATGGCGGAGGGTTCACGGTAAGAAGTGCATCTCCTTTCGTCCTGCGCCCTTCAAGCAACTGAAGGCCTGTTCGAAAGGACGTTGCTGAAGCCATGTTCAACATCGCCGGCTGGGAGCTTCTTCGTTTAGGCCTGTGTCATCATTCCTCGGATCGCATCTCCGGTCTCTCAATATCACTTTGTCGTGTAGTTTTTGTATAATTAGGAGGTGGCAACATCCCCAGAGTTGGCAGGCGATACATCCACTAACCACCAAACCCGACCAGCCCGAAAGCCTTCATAAGTGTAGGCCGCGGGTACTGCATTCTGGGACTTCGTGGCTTTGCATTCTCTTGGCGATGAAGCCTTGCCTGTATAGGCTTGATAAGGTCCAGGGCCGGGTGGATTCATGACGCAATGCAGGTGGCAGCATGTGTAATGCCGCGGGCTATTCCTGGAAGAACTTCCGTGGCACCCGGCGCGACGCTTACCGGGGCTTCTGGCACCCTGTGGCGCAGCCTGGCTCAAGAACGTAGACAACATTGGAATTAACGGTTAACGGTTCGATGATTCTTTGCTGCTTACTTTCCAGCTGCATTCGTACGTATCGTGTCCAGGTCGTCGACGTCCTGTCCTCTCCCTGCCCGGAAAAGACGGGATTCCCGCCTGCAACCCCTCGTTAATATTACCTCCATATTTCATGCTGGACAATAAACTGACCTGAACATAGTAATTAAGAGTGCAGCATACACCCTAAACCCTACAAAGCTCCAAAGCGATTCCTGCCGGTCGACCTCGGTCAGGGCTTATGACAAGTGAAGAGCTTCAATACCCGAACCCTCCATCCCTAACCCCCCCAGGTACCTACTATAGTAGGTACATATATATATATATATGGTA